GGTTAAAATGAATCTGTTATATCAAACTTCTACATTACAGCGTGCTATCGGAGAGCTTCAGAGCCTTTTGCTCTTTGATAATGAGAAATCGCTAATCGTGTAGACGACTTGCTCTGTGTAATTCTGCTAATGCTTTTATATTTCACATTAGCCCTCATGCGAACAGACTTCCTATTGATTACCTAAGTAACCTTAGAAAAATGGGAAATCTCTCGAGTAAGGGAGCACACTTGCTTTATGGCAAAAATGAGTACATTAAAGCCCCATTCACACTGAGGCACGTATAAGCGCATACGTGCGTATTGTACCATATGCAACACATGCAAATAAATGGCTCCATACACATAGCCGCATATGGAGCCGTATATTTGCGTAGCGTATATATGCGCAAAAACAATGGATCAGAGATGCGTCCGGGCAGCCTATTGCTGGGTATTTACGCGCACGCGTTGTGTGTGAATGAGGCCTAAATATTATGTAATGAGCATAACCTATGTTAGTGTGATACTGTATTCGTATGTGGAGAATGCTTTTCTGTTCTACAAGAGTTGCGTCTTTAGGGTTCATTCACAGGGTCCTACTGAATTTACAATGTGAAATGTAGGATCTTGCTGGGAGCAAAATCCTGTGTTTGTTTTTTTTATTTGTCTAGACACAGTACGCATGTAATGTTTATGAAGTTTACATTCGAATAGTGTTAATGCAGCCTATTGGTTGCTAGGATGCAGGCAATAGCTGCCTGTGTCCTAGCAACAGAAGGACGCTAGGCACCAATAGCTGCCTGTGTCCTAGGAACAGAAGGATGCTATGCACCAATAGCTGCCTGTGTCCTAGCAACAGAAGGACGCTAGGCACCAATAGCTGCCTGTGTCCTAGGAACAGAAGGATGCTATGCACCAATAGCTGCCTGTGTCCTAGCAACAGAAGGACGCTAGGCACCAATAGCTGCCTGTGTCCTAGGAACAGAAGGATGCTATGCACCAATAGCTGCCTGTGTCCTAGCAACAGAAGGACGCTAGGCACCAATAGCTGCCTGTGTCCTAGCAACAAAGCTTGATTGCTAGGGTGATGATGGCTCTTGCACTCCAATAGAGTACATTTGTACTTCACCAGCCACCTAGATCTGACCGAGTCTGAAAGTATGTAGGCTAAATTGTCCTGCTTTCCCTCCTTTGTAGTTGCAGGGAGCTGGAGTGCTTGGGGAGGTGGCTGTATTTAGAGTTAGTGACTGAAACGCATGGACCGGTATATCAGTATAGTATTTATGGTATATAAAGTACCGCACTGCTGAATACTGAAAAATGGCCTGGCCAGGAAGGGGGTGTAAACATCTAGTCAGCAAGTGGTTAACTGCGGTTTAGTAGAAATTCAGCCGTCAATATATTACTACCACAATTGAATTTGCAGTATTTGTAGTACTAACATGCACATGTTTACAGTATACAGAGAATTATTTTTGTCTGGTTGGTATATCTGGGAAAGTGCCTAATGGGGGAAGATTATTATTTATAGACAGAATTGTTTGTAAAGGATGGTGCTTGGCAGTTGGTGAAGGGGACTAAATATGTATTCTGTTAATAGGCAGCCATTTATTTTTGTGACCATGAAACTATAGTTTGTATGTATACAAGGAGTTCTGTATGGGGTTGGGTTTTTTTCATTTATATTTTTTTGCTATTGGCTTATTTTTATTCGCATTTTACCCAATTCCCTAATGACCTTATACATAAACAATAACTGTCCATTGAATGTATTAAAATTCAAGGTGCATCCTATAACTGTTGTAGATACCAGCCACATTGTCTAATCATCCAGGCTTGAAGAGCATTTTGTTCAATGCTTGAGTTGAAGTAGTTTCGAATGCCTTCAGTAACCTTCATCCAACCTATTGTTTTGACTTCAGCATATTTTTACATCTGTATCTGCCTTCATTTTACTGCATTGTATATTTTTTTTTTTTTGATTTCCTAAACTACAGTTTTGCTCATTTTAGTGCGGATCTTGAACCCAAATGCAAGCTCTACTTATTAAAGACTGACCCAGCAGCTGATCCCTCAATGCCAAAACACCAAAAAAAACACTTTAAAAATGCCTGCAGAGAAAAGCAAAAAAACAAATCTATATTGCAAGGGGTACGGGGGGGTTTGTTTTTTTACAGTTTCTGTTTGTAAAGTTTTTTTGGGTGGGGTTTAGGTGCAAGGGTTTGTAACATCTACATGTGTAATATTTCATATGTGTCTGTTACGAATGTTATTTAGAAGTTCTGACCCCCCCTCCCCCTTTTTTAGACACTTTGTCCAGCTTGGCTTTGAGAGGCAAAACGCTGAACACACTGAATCCTATTAGTTTCTATGTTCCCTGTTCACACCTGAGCGTTTTGTTGCAAGCAGAAAAATGCCGGTTGCCGGAAAAAGTACATGAGCTCCTTTTTGCCAGATTACAGAACTTTTTGGTCCCATAGACGTCAATGGGAATCTACCTGTGATGAAACGTGCCACAAAACACTCAGTTGTGAACGGGGGCTGTAGAAATGAATGGGATTCCTTGTCTTGAGTGTTTTGTCACACTTCGCTTTGAGCGACCATACACCTAGGTGCGAATGGAGCCGAAGGTCACATTTTCCTAAAAACAGCTAGCTTCCTGCCAACAATTTGAGGAACCCTATGTGCAGAAGCCTTCTTTAGCCTGGAGATTGTTTCATTTTCCAACAACTTGTGTAGGGCATGGTTGGCCAACTTGTTTTGCGAAGCCCAAGAGCACTGTAATTAATGCCTGAGCACAGACGTTGGGTGCTTTGCTTGTTTTTCCAGGTCTCTGAATTCTTAGCAGTGGGCAGACACCACCACATATGTGAGCCGCCATTGCCAACTTTGTGAAGCAAATGCCAGGGCTGCCATGCTTGTCCCCATAATGACAGATATTAGATATTCTTGCAACGATGGGGATTCTAAAGTGTTGTGTCATGGTGAGATTATCAAGTTCATGGCTTGATAGCAGTGAGTGAGTCATCTTGAGTCATCTTCTCATAAATCCAGGGTGTGATTACACCTTAGTCCTTAAAGTGGAATTGGTATTGTAAAGCTCCAAAACTGTGCAGTTTTAAATATTACGTCTTAATATGCATGCAATGAAAGATATATACTAAGGCTAGGTTTACACCTTTGCATCTGCATTTTCCTGTTTTGGATGTGTGTTTTTAACGCATTGACATGTGTTTTGGTACGTCTGTTCTGTGTTTGGCCAGTGAAAGTTAAATAAAGAGGTTGCCAGGGGTTGGGGCTTGTTGTCATGTGCTAAATCGCATGCAAATGCATGTTACATGAGTTTTCTTGTGCACTGCCATTGCAGTTTATGGGGCCGAAAACCTACTCTGATGCACCAAAAGGTGTAGCTGTGCTATTTTTGCCAACACATGGCAACCCAACGCACATGTACCGTATGAATGTGCCCCATAGAGATAATGGCAATCCTTTTGTTGTGCATTAATGCTCATTGGGCAACAAAAGCAGTGAATGGCATAAGTGTGAACGGTGTTTCAGAGCAGTGACTGCCAAACATGGAGCTTCTTGTAGCATGCCAGTACCATTTTTATTTCTCTCCGCACCCTCTTCCATTGACCCAATGTCCTCAGACAGCGATGGGGGAATGTCCCCACATTCTCAGTATGTTCAGTGGAGCCTGCTGATCTTCTGTCTATTCTCTCCTGCAAGTATCCCTGAGCACCAGGGAAGATGGCTATCATTCTACCACTATGAACCTCTCAATGCGGTGTCTAAAAGGTGTCTGTAACCTAAACATAGGATAAATGTGCAAAAAGGGGACTGGACGTATAAAGGACATCGGTACAAGTAATATATTCACACTGAACATTTCAACAACATTTACATTGGTAACTACAGTTCCACTTTATAAAAAAAAAAAAAGCATTTGGAGAGATGTTGTAAAATAGAATGCTTCAGGTTTCTCACTTGCTTTCTAACAAATAAATTCATAACTGTAAGATACCACAGTAAGTGAATAAAAGGTAGTGCTTTTATTCTAAATAAGTCCCTTTTTCCCCTTTTTACGCTATATGACATCCAGCACTTTCACAATTGATCATTACTCTCATCTGTCTCGCCTGTCTCTTGCTTCTACCTGTAGATGTGACACCCACACAGATGTCAGGATAAAGGTGCCCATACACTTTACAACCCTCACAAGACTTTTTTTGTCTTGCGAGGGTTGTAAAGTACTTTAAAAAAACGTACGATCTGCCCATCTTGGACAGGCAGATCGTACTTGCGATCATCGTACTTGCGAAGATGACTGCAATGAGGGGCGGGCTTACCATGACTGCAAACGGGCTGTGTGCGCGTGCGCACACCGGCCCGTTCGGCAGTTGTCGAACCAGCAGGCCGCAAACTCGCCGAGAATCGTACGATTCCCGGCGGGTTTTCTAGCCTGCTGGTTCGACGGAAGACGTGCGACCGCACAGTAGAAACGGTTGCACGCCTTCCATACACTGCACGATTCTCGTACGATCGCGGGATTTCCCGCGATTCTCATACGAGAATCGTGCAGTGTATGGGCACCTTAAGCTATACACCCAAGTTTTATTGTATACATTATAATAAGATATTTCTACTTGTTTGTTTAATGGAGGATCATAATAATGGTTCTAAATGGGCTTCTTTTGTGGCCACTCAGTATACCTAGGACAGGGCTGGACAAATCTCATGAGCCAGGTTGCCAATGCTCCTTAAAATTACAGCTAGCTCATAATTTTGAGGTTTTTTCTGTTTTTTGTCAATGGAGGGAACGTGTTAAAAAATAAAAAAACAACCCTGCTGGCTCCTGGATTGCATAGACTGGTTTTTGAATTCCATATTCATTTGTCCATCCCTGACTTAGGTCTAACTTACTCTGTAGACTTGTCTTGTGAGAAGTCCACCTATCATAGCTTCTGGAAACCGATCAGTGCAATTTTATTTATAAATGTTATTTGTCTGTCTTTGCAGGAGGTGGAAGAAGTTGTACCACTTGGACAGAGACGGGCCTGGTGTTGGTGCATGTGCTTTGGATTGGCCTTTATGTTGGCTGGTATCGTGCTGGGTGGCGCATACCTCTACAGATATTTTGTTTCACAGGTGAGATCATCTTGGAATATAATGTGTTTCAGAGACATAGTGAAAACCAAGTTAGGTACAGTAATTGGCTCATTGTAGTGGACTTTAATGTTACTTTAAATAGCGCATCACAACCAGTACGTAGCTCTGTTTTTTTCAATGATTAACCCCTTCGTGACGGGAGACGTACACTGTACGTCCAGCCACAAAGGGACCAAATGACTTGTCACTTACAATGTACGTGACAAGTTATTTGCTGCTTTAGAGGGCTGTTAACCGCTGAGAATCAGCTTTTAACATTCATTAATGGATGCCCTTACTACAGAGGCATTCATTAATGAAAGGGTTAACCTTTTTCAGACATAATATCGGGTGTCTGAGAGTCAAAGCAGAGGGACACAGATGCCGCTTTTGCCATTAAATAAAATAACATTTTTAAGTTTTAAAAAAAGTGAAAAGTGTAAAAAAAAAATTTGTAAAAAATAAAATAAAAAAAAGGGATAAATGAATGTATTTATTGCATTTTTTTTTTAGCTGTGCTGGTTTTGTAAAAAAAAATACTACAAATCAAAACTGGGAAAAAAGTGTTTTTTAACGTTTTTTTCCTCCCTTTTTTTTTTATATTTGTCCTAAAGTGAGGCGTTAGACACACATAGGGCTACATATTTATATCACATATGTGTCCTCTAAAAAACAATATATAATATGTGTGGGTTCACTTTGTAAGAAAGTATATTACTGACGTGGAAGAATCACACAGCAAAAAAGTGTCAGTCATTTACGAACAGAAACTAAAAACAAGCTCAGTCATGAAGGGGTTAAACACTCTTTGGAGATTTTCCTATGTTTAAAGGTTCATTGTAAATTTGCATTCCAGGTAAACAGAGCAAATTATTGGAAAATGTTTACATTGCAAATGAATAGCAAGAGTTCGATCTACTGATAACACAGGAACCACAAGCTGTGATGAAGTGTCGATAATGTCTACATACGCATGTAAACAACATATAGTTATGATGTAAAGCTAATCTATATTAGATATAATATTTATGAAAGTAGAATTAAAACCTCCTTTGTTTTTGCATATATCTATTGCCAGCAGGCAGTAGATATATGCAAAATCATTTTTTTTAAAGTTAACAAAAAGGCAAAAATGTATCTCTGTCTCCGCTGCTCGCTCTGAAGCTTTTCGAGTGGGGCAGGCACATACGCAGTAGATACCTTCAGGCGGGGAGAAAAGAAGAGACACAGCGGAGCTTGCATGTCGGACAGACACCACGGGACAGGAAGAGACAGCAGTCAGCGCTGGATCAGATTGCTGAATACAAGTGAAAGGAAGATGATGATCGGATCAAGAGGCATCACATAAGGTAAGTCTTTGGAGGGGGGGGAGTGGGGAGAAAAAAATTGTGACTTTAATGTAACTTTAATAGTATGCAGTGCTGTTAAAGGGTTCTAAACCCTCCGGGTTTTTTTTGCCTATATCTACCTAGCAAGCAGTAGATCTAGGCAAAAAGTTTTTTTTCTTTAAAAACCGCTTTAACAGCGGTTTACACTTACCCTGTTTTTGCAGCGCGCTCCCGCCCGGTAATCCGGAACTGCTCCGGCGGGCGCATGCGCAGTTCGAATTTGCCTACAAATGTCAGGTGGTTCAATATCGGACCTCTGAAAAGTACAAGCATGCATATGTACTCAGTACTTGGTTTGGTCCCCTTTTGCAGCACTTACTGCAATTACTTTTGAACGATATTCTAATCGAGTTTCACCTGTATATAATTTAAATATGCGGGTAAAGAACAAACAGTTATAACTGTATAACCTGTTTGTGATCCCTGTGCTCCATATAATGATTTCTGTTTTGTCTCTTCAATAGCGTGGCGTTTACTTCTGTGGAATAAGATACACTGATGATGATATGACACTTGCTGAGCCTTATGCAGACTCTTCCCGTGTTCGCTACCACTCCTTTAGAGAGAGAATTCAGATCCTGGAAGATGAAGAAGTTGAGCTGATCAATGTACCTGTCCCTGAATTTGCTGATAGTGACCCAGCTGACATTGTTCACGATTTTCACAGGGTAAGCTCTTTTACCTTGAAAGTTGTAGGAAGTGTTAAAGATAGCTAGATTGCTTTGGCGAAGCAGTCACTACCTATTAGCTATGCATATTTTTTTCACCTAAGAGTCCTATTGAATCACGCTGTTTTTTGCATCTCTGGGATTTTGATAGGAGGACCTCCTCTATTCCTTTCCTCTCTGCTCGTATTATGTCTGTTTCACATTATGGGGAATACTTCTGGACTTGCTATAATTGTGTAATGCTTTGGTAGAGTGGTGGAGTATATAGTGCTGATGAGTGTCTACCAAGGCAGATTACACACACTCTCAAGGTTTTGATAAGTTTTGTGCACTTATGAACATACAGTATAATGGCATAAACCTATGAGGGTAGTTTTCAATTTTCTTCTGTAATAGGTCTACATTACACTATGAACCTTACGAAGTAATTCTAAGTACTAGATGGCAATTAAAATACTCCTTTGTACTCTGACCTCCTTGTGTACAAGAGATCCAGTTTTACTTGTCATATCTCATGTTTGTCTTTAGCAACAGGAAAAAATTAAGAACTAGGTGTTCTTTGTTGCTGCCATTTTATTGTAGAACATTTTATATTGGCTTTATACTAAAAGTGATCTCAAAAGGTTTTTAAGCTACTTCAAATGCTGAATTAATCGGTAACAATGGATTTTGCCCCTCGATGTTTAAAAGTTTGTTTCCTGTAAAATCAGCTAGTCTCCTAAGCACTGGCCTCTAATATCCTGTTTTAGGGTGCTCCCTTTCCCTTGCAGGGTCCTATATTTTAGCAAAAAATTGGGTAATAAATGTTTATCATTTAATATAGTGGAAACAGTTTTTTTTTTACATTTTCAGTAATTTTTCCCTAATATAGTAAAAAATAAAAACCCCGGTGGTGATTAAATACCACCAAAAGAAAGCTCTATCTAGCTCCATCACTAGAAAATGGTATAAAATTCATTTCAGCACAGCGTTGCATGACGGAATAAATGTCAAAGTACTGCAGTGCTGAATACTGAAAATGGCCTGGACAGGAAGGGGGTTTAACACCGCAGACTTCAAGTGGTTAACAAGAAGTAAAAGAGTTTTTTAGGGCCTGTTCACACGACGTCCGTTTTCTGTGCTGACCTGATCCGTACGCTCCTGCACTAAAAATGCATCCCAATGTGTCCCTATGTGTTTTATGGTCTACAGTTCTCACGTGTGCAGTCTGTTCAGCTTACGACAGAAAAATACTGCATGTCTCATTTTGTACGGTCCGAAAACGCGTCAAATGCACTGCAGCTAACATACTGACAGCCCCATTCCAGCAAAAAAAAAAAATATATATTTTTTTTAACTGGAACGCATCAAAAAACACAGCAGATACGTCTGCAGATACGGACCTGAAACTCATGTGAACAGGCCCTTAAACAAGACCTCACTGACAGGCAATGTGCAGCATTCACAGCTGAAGTTGGTTCTCTCAGCAGCTCGGCTTGCTCTGCTCCCTCCACCCAAAACACCAGAGATTAGATGGCTGCGAAGACGCTGCTGGGAAAAAAGAGCAGTTCAAAATCAAGTTCCCAACACCTTACAGCCCTGGTTCCAATCACATCCACCATGTGGAGCCCATTGGTTCTCTTTGTGCAGCCCACCTTGTCCTTGGCTGTGGTACCTCCCATGTAGGGTTATTATTGCCTGGTACCAATGCTCGGGGTTATTATTGTGGTCAGTAACGCCAATGCTGATGGTTATTACTGCAGTCATTGATGCCAATGCTGGGGGCTTCTATTTTGGCCACTGATTCCATGCAGGAGGTAATTGTTGCAGCCACTGATGCCAATGTTGGAGTTTATTACTGCAATCACGGACACCAATGTGGGGGGCAGCTATTGTGGCCAGTGACACCAATGTATGAAGTTACTATTAATGCCACTCACACTGCGGATTGGGCTTATTTTACTCCCACTTTCTCTTCAGTGTGTGTGATGCAGTAAAAAAAGATACAGCAGGAGCAGAAATTTTCAGGCACTTTCCACATAGCAAAACAAGTACATATACCCATGCCTCTGATAGTCTAATATCTTTACCACTGTCACACAGACTA